CAGAATATTTAAAGAGGGAAAAGCCAACAGTGTGTTGAGGAAAGAGAAACCAACAATGCAAAGTCTGAATAATGGTCTTGCTTAGTTTTGTCAATTAAGCGTGCGAGTTCCCAATTTGATGTCCCCAATTTGTGTTTGAATAATTTCTAATTGTTCCATATACATTTTACTTCGATCAACTATCGAACTCGATGACTAAAAATAGTCAGTGAAATAAAAATTCACTATTTACTGCAGTACTGATTTTATCGTTTGTTTACAAAATTATGCCACCTATTTGTTCTTTCTAGTTTCGAAATGACATGTGTTGTTTAGCCCAAATATTTACCCTTTGAGCTGGAATTTGGTTTGATTCTTCCCAGAAGGATGATTGTGATGAATGCCAACAGGACTGTCCCATGGAGTAGCTTTAAGCTAGGGTTCAGTAGCTCCTATTTCTGGGAAGTTAGATTTGTATACGTTTCAGTTGTTTAAACGGCATAAAAGCAGAATCCATGCTTATAATAATGCAGTGCTTGCTTGCTTGATATTAAAAATATTTATTTTGATGAGCAACCTTGGTGAGGAGTTCTGTAGCGTGTTGGTTAGAGCACTTGCCTCGCAAACGAGAGGACCTACATTCGATTCCTGGACGGGGCGAAACCTTAGGCATGTTTCCTGACTCCACTTCCTACTGTTTACCTTGCAGTAAGCAGGAGCCCGGTTGTTAGTCAATTGGTGGATCGCTTTCTGGGAATAATAATCCCTTCAAAAATAATAATAATAATTTGGTCATTCAATCCATGACTGTTTGTGGGACCCAGCTGTATGCAGCGTGCTGTGTTTTGCCCACAAAATATATTTGAAAGGTAACTTGTTTCAATGAACTACTATCTTAATTCCTGCAATTATCAGTACATGTGGGTCAAGGCCTGGAAAGGGGTAACAATTAGACTGAACAAAAGCTTGTAGTTCCACAGGTAATTATAGCCATAAAGGAAGATCAAAGGAGCCAATTCGCTGATGAACTCGAGCGAGTGTTGGTCTATTATCCTTGCAAAGTATCAGTGGATTAATAACATGATCTCACATGTGTATAAAATGCAAATCAAATACAAGGTTACATTTGTATAGTGCCTTTCACGTCGGGAGGGTGAGTGGTTGGGGGTGGGAGGGTGGTCGAAGGCACGATTGAAGAGGAAGGTCTTCAGACAGGATTTGAAGGAGGCAAGAGAGGGGGTGAGTCAGAGGGATTGCGGGATAGAGTTCCAGAGGGTGGGGGCAGAGATACTGAATGCCTGACCGCCAATGGTGGGGTGGGAAGTGTGGGTTCCTGAAGCAGGCTGGTGCCTGTCGAGCGGAGGGAGTGGACAGACTGATATGGGGTGCCCTATATTTTTAAAAAATAATTTCTTTAAAAATTATTAGACATTGTAATGGCATTGCAATTTTTTGGTCACTCTATATAACCAGATTTGTATTACAACACAATTGATAGGAGTAGAGAGAGGTGGATAGAGAGTTGCTTGTGTAAAAGAAGTACAAAGAGGATTATTGAAAGGCTAGGGAGGTGGCATTGAGATTAAAAAATCTGTCCATTTTAATAAACTGGGAGAACAGACTCTATGGACTGAATGGCTTCTGACTGTTCCTATTTCCTATGTTCCTGTTTTAAAGACCAATGAACAAAGATCCCATCCGATTACTACAGGAAGAGTTAAAGTGTTATCAGTTTCTCTTAGGTAATTGCATTCTTGCCTCGTACCTGTGGGTTTGTCCATAAATTGTCACTGCACTTCACAGTAAATTCCATGAAGCACTTTGAGATGGCTCGATGGCATGACAAAGCACTATATCAAATGCAGATTAAGGGTAAAGAAATACTTTAATAGATATACATTGGATTATATATATATATCATTGGCACCAATTAACTCTCCACTTTCATTTGCTAAATCGGATATAAATTCCAACAATCTAAACGTATGAAGCTGGTGCCTTTTATGCAACACGTTCAGTTTCGATAGCTTTTCCTTGTCTGTATGTATATATATATATATACACACTGTATGTGTGTGTATATATATATTATACATACTGGAGGTATGGACATGCAATGATGTATATCTATAAATCCTGTACTTTAACCAGCGAGTGGTGGAGGGGCGTTTGAATTGGAATCATACCATTCCTTTCTGTCAGCTAAGCGCATGGATTTTCATGTGATAGCTGACGTGGGCAGTCAGTAATAACTGGTGAGCTTTATGCAAAGCAAGTACAGTCCATTTGGTTGTCTTAATCATGTGAAACACATCAAAGTTTTCTTCATCTTGTGAATAGAGTAAAATAAGTCTCAGGTGAGAGGTCTATGTGAGGCCAACATAGGAACTATTGGGAGGGTGAGGAGGGGAAGATACAGTACCATGTAAAGCATTAACTCTCTTACCGTGGCATCTAAATTTATTCTCAATGTCCCAAATGCTTTTCACAACTATAAACCTCTTATTTTAAGTCAGCTCTTGGGTAAGATGATGGAATCATTGGAACAGATACCCTAGCATACACTCACCTCATTCCCAATCTTTTTTGCAATGTCATAGTGATCTGAAATAGAGCAGCGAAAAACTGCAATGGCACCAAACCAAAGGAACATTTGCTAAGGTTCTGTCTCCCTGGACTGAAGAACAGTGGCATGTGAAGTTCCGTCAGCATCTATCTTGTGTTACATGTCACAGTCTACAAGTATTTGAATCTCTTAACACATTGTATGTTCATTCAACTTGTGATTTAGATTTGTGAATTTGTTAACACATGGTATCTTTACTGAATATTGTGCAATATGTATTCCATGCATTCCAGAAACTGAACTGGAATTTGACGTTCAAACAGCAAAAATTTGATTCTAAGAACGTCAAAAGTTGTTTTTTTTTTTCGCTCAAATTTATCTCATTCAAGTTAGAGGAGTGTCAAAAAACAGCCTTTTCCTCCCCCATTATGCAATTTAGAGATTATTCAGTTCGGTCATTGATTATTCAAACTAAAGTCTAGAGATGATCAAATAGATTTTGAAATTCACAGTGCTTTTGGTGGAATATTGTAGTTGCTGGGGATTCCGATGCTTTAAGGAAACCATAATTATTGTAATATCTGAAGTAGAACACCATGATTTACAGGCATGTGCATGATTTTTTTTTAAAAAGCACTTCTTTCCCAAGCTAGTTAGTCTATTTTAATAATCCTATAATAATCCTTGCAGTTCATATGGTGCCTTTGCTGGGAATGAAAAAAATAAGATTCACACAACAGTTAATGATAGAACATGCAACCATCTAATATCATACTGCAAAGTACATAAAGACACTTAAAAGAAACATCATCAGCACCAATTAACTCTCTACTTTAATTCGCTAAATCAGATATAAATTCCAGCAACTTAAACATATGAAGCTGGTGCCTTTTATGCAACACATTCAGTTTTGATAGCTTTTCCTTGTTGGATCAATACTAAAATTACTGTAATATTTTAGTTTGGAGGTATATTGATTTGAATTTTAACTCCCACTGCTTTAACCACCTCACAAGTAAGTGTTCTCAGAATTGAGTCAGTACAATTAACGGTTTTGAAGTTGTTGGATAGTCCAATGGACGACCTTCACGGTTTTGAGTGTTACTTGAGTTTGGACATGCACCACTGATCTTTATTTGTTTAAAATCCAACAGATATTCCTGGAATTCATATATCTGCTTAATAGACGTCACATAACTAAGCACATTTACAGACCTGACCTCAGCCCTTGGCAGGAGTGATTTAGAGTGGGAAATGAAATCAGATTTCCTACTCCAAATTACAACTACTGGAAACAGTTTCCAGCAGTACAAAAGGTGAATCAATCAAGAATCAACGGTTTCCTAATTGTACCTAACAGAGAAGTGACCCAGCTAATTTTTACATGGTTAATATTTAATATGAATTCAGTTGAGATTTTGATGCACAAAAATAGATGAGCGGTTAAGATGGGAATCATCCTTAATGTACAGGAAGGTTAGGTGACCAGTAGTGAGAAAAGGTAGACAAGACCCTTTTTAGTGATCCGCCACCTTGTGGTTTGATTGAGAAATGACAAAATACTTTACGTAGTAAATTGATGGATTTAAAGTTATTGGATGGATGAAACAGTGACTGGATTAGTTTTTGGTTAAAATATATTGCATATTTAAATGTATATGAAAACTATAAACAAAGGAATGTAAAATTAATCCGATTGAGTACTTTTGAATTGTATTTTGGGTGTATTTTTTGGTGAGTATAAGATCTGGAAGCAGAACAGTCAGACCAGGAACTGTAGTCTAAAGCTATCTGCCATAGGAAACCTTTTACTGACCCTTCTACTTCAGAAGAGATATACTCATATTGACCCTTGATTTCACTCTTAGGATTGGTCTCTATATCAGGCTTTAAAAATCTTCTTTCAAGAAAAAATATGGACAAAAATCCTGCACATAAGTATCTTGAAGTTTTTCATTTTTTCCACAATTGAGTAGTGAGAAAACATTTTGGCTGTTTGTTTCTCAGAAAACCCATAGGTACCAGGATGGATCAAAGTCATGGGGGTCAGCAAATGACTTCTGAGTTATGGCATCTTGTTGCTGTGTTTCTGCTGCACCTTGTGTGCTGTAGACAAAACCATGTTAGAAATGTAGTTTTGCACTGGTTTGCACACGCGCAAGTTGAAGACGGCTACAAAAATGAAAATGTACTAGGACGAGGGAATCCTGCTACCTTAGATCTGAGTAGTTAGGAATTAGTTTGAAAACAGTCTCAACTTGCAGCTCCTGCAAGTGAATAAATACTTTATTTATAAGTGTGCAAATACGAACAATGATTCCAGTTAAATGTGATAACAATAGTTTACTTAATATGAATTTGGATTAGTGATAGAACAAATTATTTTTAAGGCAGAGGGATTTTACATGACTTCTACAACGAAGGATCTGTATAATGAAATGGACAGAGATTGGAATTTGTTTGAAACTTTTAAGAAAAAAATTAAAATGACACTTGTATTAAGAATTACAGCTGTGAATTTGAATATTTATGGTATATAACCGGTGTTGTAAAAAATGCAAGTATTATGATTCTGTTACAACTTACTGCAACCATAATAAATCCAAGTATTTGTTTAGATGTACACTAAGGTTTTAGAAAAGATCCTTTATTTCCATTGCAGCATCCCATTAGCCTGATTTCTTAACACATTTTATTCTTCATTCACTTCCTGCTTCCTTCCAACTTGGCTTGAGTGTACTTGACATATCTCAGTGACTGTTGTTCTTGATCGGAGTTTTGGAGGTCAGAGTCAGGGTAGACGACACTCGAAAAATCTGAGGTAGCATGTTGCTCAACTGGTAGAACATTTCCTCAGAGATACTCTGCCAAGATAAAAGTATTGGCATTACATGGTGGGGAGGCAAGTTAACAGCATTTAAGCCACACCAGAATAGGCATTACAATTTATTACATTGTAAGGAACTTGTGCTCCTCATCAATATCATGCGAATTGTAGAAAATGTACATTTGGATATAGAATCAGGAGAGTCAAATTTGGTTGTAATTCTTTCTCCCTCTCCCCTTTTCCATAGTTATATGATCTGCTGACTCTTATTGATCAGAATCACACATTAAATTGTACTCTAGGAGGATTCAGTATCTTTAGGAAAGGATGAAAAAGATTCCTCCCTTCCGACAGCCGGGTGTCTGACCATTGGAAAACACATTACCATGCTTGTTTGAGAGTAGGCAAACCAACAACAACATTTGTATAGCGCCTTTCATGTCGGGAGGACGTCCCAAGGTGCCGGACAGAGTACAGCATTTCAGACCCGAGCTGGGGTCGGGGCGGGGAAAACCAGATGATATTCCACATAAGCAGGAACTTTCTCTATGTCTGGAATAGAGTGCACACTCTCTCCTTAGAGAGATGCACCCTGTTTACCTAATGCAATGTGTTGGGCACAGGCTCACAAGAAGTAAGGTTTCGGAATGTGTTGCCATTGTGAAAACTATCCCGTAGAGTGGTTAGTGCATTTGCCTCACAAGTGAGAAGACCCGGTTCAGTCGCTGGGTGGGACGAAACCTTAGGCAAGTTTCCTTACTCCAAACGCCTCTGCTTACTTAGCAGTACGTAGGAACTCGTTTTTAGTCGATTGGTGGATCGCTTTCTGGGGGTAATATTCCCTCAAAAAAATAATAGTATCTCAGTGATCAGAAGTAAAAGTTCAAGAAGTGTCTTAGCTGTTATTTTTAAAACTTTAAAAGAAAAACGCACAAGGCACATTCTGCTGCTTCTTGGTTACTTTCAGAGCAGATAGATCAGATTCTGTTCACTGAAGTTTGGTATGTTTGCTGCTCCTAGAAGTGGAGAGAATTTAAAATTGATTTTTGGAGGAAAAAAAATCTGTTTGAGTCAGGATAAGGGCTACTAACGAGTCTGAAATCTATGTTATTTCTGCTGCTTCCCTAATTCCTACATCAGAGTGGTCATTTGCTCTCTGAAACTGCATAAGCTAACTCCGGCCAGGCTATTTTGCCCACAAAATACAGTCAATTCACTTTACAATATGCTCTATGAAGCGCTTTAAGACATCTCAATGATGTGATAAGGTGCTATATCAAATGCAAGGACTATTATTATAATGCAGTGAAACAATAGAAATCATGTGGAAAAACTGTCAATATTAGTGGTAGCACAAATAAGCAACTTTTATACTTTTCACATCTCAAGGGTGTTACACAATTAAATTGAATTTATCTGAAAAAGGATTAAAGATACAATATTATAAATGACAAAGTTCTGCATTTATTTTCCTGGTGACAGCACAGTGTAAATAAACCTTTCAGTGCTCCAGTCTGCTTGTTCAACTGGATCACTAAACACATTATCAGAACAACGAGTTCTCCATGTCTCTTGGCTAAAGTTCCTCTCTTACTCAAATTCAGCAACAAAAAAAAGATTAATTGGGTCATTGCTTTTGGCAGCTGTTCCAGGCACCGAATAGTTGCTTCGTTTGACTTAACAACTTAAAGGTAATTTATGTGAATTGCTGACGTGAGAAAGAGCCACAAACACAAGTTTAATAAAAAAAACTGTAAGAAATCCAGTTGTATAAACAATAGCATGCTTTAGAAATACTCCAGGCTCCCCAGCTTTTCTGTGCAATAGGCTGCAAACTATCCAGAACTCTGCAGCCAGTGTCCTCTTCCGTACAAGGCTCTGTTAGCCAACTGCCCCCAGCATTGCTCGGCTCCACTGACTCATCATCCCCCAATGGATTGAGTTCAAGATCCTTGTTTTTTCATTTAATCCCTCCGTGGTCTCACCCCACCTGAGCTCTGCAACTTCTTTCACATTTACCATGCCTGCCATTCCCTTTGCTTGGCCGCACTATCCTACTCCACAACCCTCATTCTATCCACCCCCAATTATTTGTTGCTCACTCTCTGGAATTCTGTTTCCAGGTCTTTCTGACTTGCTGCCTTTCTTTCCCTCTTTCAACGTATCAAAATGTACACCTTTCACTCCTTCAGTTCCCATCCTCATCTCTGGTATCCAGCCAGAAATGTCAAGTGCTTTGGGACATCCTCTCGATGCAAAAAGCACTACATAAGTGTAAATTGTAGTGTGTACATGGATACAGAGCAAAGGAAAGGTACAGTCCTGTTTATTCCTAACCACAATTCAAAACTGATGATAACTAGCAATAAATTTCCAGTTATACTAGAACTTGCTCAATCATATTACATCATGCCTCATTCCAGATCGTGCACACATTACAATAATATTTAAATACGTATATATGCAGCACCAAAACAAAGTTGTAGAATGTGGTTTGCATCTACTGTTTCCCCCATCACATATCTTAACCATGACATCTCTAGGAGGCATCTAATTCTCAGGAATTAGGCAAGCAGGATGCAACCCTCCAGGGAGAGTGTGCGCATACCACTCCAATAAATCTCTGGAATTTCCATATACTGTAGAAGGATGCAAGGTGTAAGGAACTTAGCTGTTTTCAATGTTTAACTGCCAACCCCACTATGAAGCAGAAATCAACACATTTGCAAACCACAGAACATTTCTTGAACTATAATGTGCTTAGAATTTAATGAAATGCAGGAGCTTCATTTCTCTTCATTTTCAAATGTTTGAATATTAGCTCTGGAGAATATAATCAGGTGTGTTTATACAAAAAAAAGTGTAAATACAAAATTAGATATTGTACCTGAGGTACAAGGAACTGTACTGTGCGAGACGTTCCTCCATCCCAGGATGCCATTTCCATCATAAAACCTGTCATAACAAAGAATCAAATTAGAGAACACTTAGGACAGCATGGGTTAATAAGACAGAACCAGACTTAGATTTGCAAAGGATACTATATACTTGATTGTAATAGAAATTTAACATGGACAAATAAAAATCATGGAAACTGATAAGTCCAGTAGTGAGGATCCGATAACTCTTGCATTTGATATAGTGCCTTTTTATTTTGTGAGGATGTTTCACAGAATTTTACTATAAAGTGTAATGATTGTGGATTTTGTACATGAATGCGACAGCCAATTGCGCACAGCAATGTCTCAAACAGCCATGAAGGGAATGATCAATTTTATCTGGGGGATTGTTGGCCAGGATACTAGGAGAAACTCCTCTTTTTTGAATAATGCCATGGGATCTTTAACATCCACCTTAACAATAGATAAGACCTCATTTTAATGTCTCATCCAAAGTACGGCAGCTCTGATGATGCATTTTTAGAACTATAATCTCTGGTTGTTCATGTTTGGTTAGGTTGAAAATCATAATCATTAATGTGCAACAAGTAGGATACTAGTCTGTGGAGTGAATTCTGGAGCTTCTTTACTCCCTCAACTTCACTCACTGCTATGGACTGTTGTCTTCATTTATTTAATGAAGGAAGCTTTGCAATTGAACTATTCATTTTTTTCTGCCTGGGAATCCTACCCGGACTAGACGGAGGGAAGTCAAGAATTATCATGATGCGTCTAAGATTGGCAATTTATTTGCATTATTTATAAGGATGTATAACTTACTAACCTTTTACACACTTGAACACCAGCTCTGCTCTTTTCAAACACCAAGGTATGGTCATCTCCTTGAACAAACACAAAAATAGACTCGCTCTCAATAACTTGAAATATTTATCAAAGACTTTTATAAACAGCTTTCATTTATTTTTCAAAAAAAGTTAAACACTGTTCCTGCATTGATTGTTTTTCATTTTTACACAGTTAATGTAACCTTTGGGATAAAAGTAAAATATAAACCAAGCTGTATAATGCTTTTCAGCAGAATTATTAGATGACATGCACCATTAAAGTTGTTGACAGCAATTTGCAAGATATGATTCAACATTATAGTTCTGATGAAATATTTAGGGATTGGTTAGATTATCGTTTACATTCCTATGCTCCAATAAAATGTGACTAATGTTATGAAGTTCAGACTGGCATTGTCCAGTTACCAGAACTCAAGAGATTACAGACTAGTTATCTAATATTTTATGAATTAAAGAGATGTGTGTTTTTGATGATATGAAAAAGCTTCTTCCCTTCCCCCAGTACCCCAATCTCCCAAGGTCACACACTTGCCATCATTAATGTAGTGTGGGGAATCATGAATGCTAATGTGTTCTATTTTACATTTGTCAAATGAGCAAACAGTAAAAACAAGGCAGCATGATTTACATGAAAGGAAATAATACTAATAGTGATATAGGACATTAAATGTAGCGGAATTTTCTGCATTTTCTTTTAGTGGAGGAACCCCAAGTAAATAAATCATTATTGCTGAGAAATTGTGCACACTGATGCACAATGAATCAAGTTATTTGATCACATTCTGTGCATATAATCAGGAAAGTTACGCAACTGTTATTGAAGCGAGTCTTGGTGGAAATCAGTCTTTCGAGATATTATTTAAGTAAAAATCATGGATTAGAGAACACGAAAGGTCACTTGCTTGGGAAGTACAATAAGACAAAAGTACGTAGTTTCACAAAAAGCAGATGGAATGAGTGTTTTGGCATTCCATAATGTTGCTCTTGGATCTCACTGCTTCCAGTTAACATTTAGCTTTACAAAATCCAATAATTTTGTTGTGGATCAGAAACTACAGCATTTACTGAGAGGAACTAAATCAGATCAACTTTTCCAAGATGACACAAAGATAACTCGCCTTCTACAAAACTGATTTACTCTTTAAACTAACATTGTCCTTATAAGAGTTTACTTGTTTCTACTATTACTATGTGATGCACATTTTGGAGTTTGTTCTTTTTCATTGTTCAGTTTTTTCAACGTATTCTCAAACCCACATATTCAATTTTACTACAATAATTGCTTGTCACTTCAATCCATTTTGATTATTTCTTCCTTAATAATTTTATTGGTTTATCTAATCAATTCTAGTTAAAGCATTTCAGGTAGTAACATCCAACCCAAATTAAATGTGATAAACACATTTAATCTTTAAATGTTGAACGTAAATTACTGTTCAGTTGTAAATTAAATATGTCAGAGTAGAAACAGGTGGAGGGTTGTGTGGAATATAAACACCGGCACAGAGTAGTTGGGCCGAATGAACTAGAATGGCCTATACAGACTATGTATATATCAATATAGTGGGGTAATAAGACAGATCTAATGGTGGAATATTGCATTCCCTATGGCTAGGTGGGGATGCTTTGAGACTATATTGAGCCTACTGCTAACAAACAAAGCATGCTGACAGTAGTTGTGAAATATGTAGCCCAGACATCTTTGTACTAAAAACAATTGAGAGAAGGATGCAAGACTTAAAAAAAAAAATACTAGCATGTGAACAGAAACAAACTTTAATTTTAATCACAAGCCTAAATTGCAATACTTGAAAATTGTTCTGGCCTCTCTTAGCTTTCTCGGACACTTAATTATTTTAACTTATTTATTTCCTTGCATCATATTTTCATGGCAATACGGTCCAGCTAAATAGATACATTCACTGAGCCATTTGGAGGAAGCTTAAATTTTCCCCACTTTTGAACCATATAATTTATATGTTTCTGTTACCAAAGTTGTTATTTGCATTTTACCAAATAAATCAGCTTTATCTTTGCTTTGTCTAAATGTTGCTGCTTACCTCAGACATGTCGTGCACCAACAAAAGAGGAATAGTTATTGTAGTGATGTCATGAGTGCAACAGACTTTCAGGATATTCCTTAGGCCCATAATTGCTGGATCACGAGCATTAATGTTGTTCGATCTCAAGTTATCATCTACACACAGATGAAAGACGACATGGACTTCAGAGAGATTGGAATGTCGTGAAATGTAAAATTCTCCTGCAGATTAAATGAAATTTTTATATTTAGCAAATTAAGTTGCATTGTTTATTGTAAATAAACAAAATAGTTGAAGCTCCGAAGGAAGAAGACATTCCGTCATTAACTCATTGTATTTGATGGTCCAACCTACCTGGCAAAATATTTGATGGATTTCTTTCAGCATTCTTAGACTTATCTTCATTACCTCCATTTCCATTTAGTAGTTCTTAGAAAATAAATTCGTAGTTAATTATTTTACTGATCTTTGCAACATAATGGCTATTTACTTCCATACACATAAGCAGTTTAGTATCTCAAATGTACCTGCTGTGAGGTTCTCCAAAATACATTCCAATGTTTTTAAATAAATCAGTAACTTGTAAAAACAGTACAATGGCTGCTTGTATATCCATCTGTCACTTTGATGAGATACCAGTTGTAATTTGATAGCTTATCTTGTTGACATTGTTGAGTTACACGCTTTCTAAAAACTAAGTATCACAAAATACTAATTGCAAATATTCTAAATAGCAATAGTGCTATTTTACCTTTGGATAATACAGGATGTAGAATATTCCTACATTTCTAATATCACTAAAAGTGTTTTGAAATGTGTGAAACTGCTATCACTTTCAAGGCACTTTGCTTCTTGTGATTTGCAAGTATGAGGTACATACTCTCGCAAACCAGACTACATAACGGCTCGCTTTTATTTTACAAAAAACAAACCAATTGAAGGTATACTTGAAATTCCAGTATCATAATCCATTAATAAGAACAACAATGAAATAAGAGAGAGACAAACAGAATTCTGAGCTGGAAAGAATTAAATGAATGACAGTTATCAATTAGCATTGACACCTATGCACTAAGCAATGAAGTGGTACGGAATGGATTAATACACATGATACCCCACATGCTGAATTTTCAAGATTAGCTTTGCTGGCAAGCCATCTGTGGAACAGAGTCCAAGCGGTTCCTCAAGAGCCAAGGGATGAAAAAATACACTGGGCTGTTTTCAAGCCAAGCAATTGGCAAAACAACTTTCGTTTATATAGTGCCCTTCATTCATGGTAGCGTCTCAGAGCGCTAAAAAGCCCGGAGATGGAGAAAAATACCTTGAAAAGGTCTAACAAAAAAGTTGTAAGAGGGTGTGAATATCTGGCTGAACTAAACTGTCCTTCATGATTAATAATAATCTCGGGTCACATATTTACAAAGGTTTAAAAAAGAATTTCCAAGTAAGCACATTGCAAGCATATTTCAATATATAGTCAAGCATTCAATCAATGATTAACAACCATGTCGGATATTCAAGGGATAGTCTATGCTGGTAGGATAGCCAAGTGACTGTGCAGCCACCTCTAGTGTTACCACTCCAACCTGGGGAGAAGCGGGTAAGGTATATGCGTAACCTCCAACATGTTTGACACACAAGAAGCAACAGTAGGAGCAAAGCACATTTAACATGTGCATCGTTATTAATGTATATATTTTAAGCAGCCCATTGTGTACGTAATAAAAGTTCTGTAAGATTATATTTGTGTTGCTTAATTTTTTTAAGGCTTTTAATTAATCTTTATATACACTTAGAATGTAATCTATCCATAATCATTTAATAAGGTTGGTTTGATTTAATGACTAGCTTAGCAGGGGTTAAAAGTAGCTTTGCTGGACCGGTTGAGGTCAGCTTCTGATTACATTTCATATTTTCCTGGGAAGATGGTCACTCCTCTGAGATAATGAGCAATCAGGTCCTTGTGCAGATGTAGGAACAATGAACCTTAGAAAGTAAAGGCTGCAGCCTCAGACACCTGTCTATCTCAAGGCTGAGAGAAACTCAAGCTGGAAAAGGCTGCAAACACAAGGTGTCCATCTCTCTTTCTCCCTTTCAGTTCTTTTCCCTTTGGAAGAGTCTGCTCAAGGTCACTAGCAGCTTGCGAAGGGTGGGGCTTCGTTCTGTAACAAGGGGAGGTGGATGGAGTTATAAACACTTAAATGAAAGATGTAACTTTGAAATAGGGGGAAGTCGTCGTAAAGGGTCAACCCTTTGTCCCAGTGGGATTGGGTAATATCGATCTTACTGTATCTAGGGTCTGTTAGAAGGATAAGCTAGGCTCGTTGTCCGACTCTTTGGCTGTCTATTATTCAATAAACATTGGATTATTACACCACCGTATTGGTTGTCTCCATCCGAACATCTTACAGTTTGTATTCCCCTCCTCTGGGGTTATAAATGCTGAAAACATTTAAAATTATTAATATATATACATAATTCATCACAGATTTCCTACTTGAATGAATGAGTATTTCTAATAGGTATGATGGAAATTGCTATAGTAACATTGCTTTAATTTAGAACTTGTAATGATTTCAAACACAATACATAATCAAACAAAATAGATAAAATTATGTGACATATTTCTCCTCTTACCAGCTTTTTCTTTTGCCTTCTTGTTACGTTGCGCACTTGCAAACAGTACAACTTGTTGAACAATCTCGAGCTGCTGTTCAACCCGAGGGAAATGGAAGTCTGTACACTCGTGGCTAACTGTTGCAAAATCTGACAAGTAAAAATAAATGCAAATGCACGTACGTAAAACGTAATCATTAGGCTTCCTATACTTAAAAGGAAAAATAAAAAAGCAGCAAACCACAGGTAAAAGCACTTTCCGAATTTTTAATAAACAGGAAATGTAATGATAATCTAAATGTGCAAACTAAATCTGCATTAAATATAAGCATTGTATTTGCTGCTTTCTTACAATACCTCCCACAAAATATACAGTCAATTCACTTTACAGTATATTCTGCATATTATAAGACGCTATATCAAATGCAAGGATTATTATATTATTACCTCGTTTGATGCCACTATAAGAATTGATGCGGTTATCAACGAGCAAGACAAGCCCACAGAGCGAGGTGGAGTACAATGACAGTGCTGTCTGGAGTCTCTGAAGTTTAACTCCACTTCGATGATTTTGTTTGTGCTTGCAAAAATCAAGGATATCTGCTCTCACCAATCGCAAGTTGTGCATTGTCTTTAATTGAGCTCCTGCAAGAAACATGGCAAAAATACTATTCTTTAAATGTAAAATCTTGAATATTTTAAATAGTTAAATAGCGAGAACACTCCCAAAACTTTAAATGTAAAATAATGGCTCACCTAAATGTATCGTAAAGCTTTCTTCCAACAGACTTTGTTCTTCAAATACTCGTTCATTTGGTACATTTGATTTACTTTGTTTAACTTTGATTTCCTCACTTTATAAGAGAGGAAAGAGATGAAATATATTAAAAGATCACTAAGTGTTAACATGGCAATCAGTTTGAAGCAACTGATTTGCTTCCTTTCCACCTGTGCAAGATTTGGACTCAAATTCTTAAATTGTTCAGTCTTTTTTGTTAGTTAGAAATGATCCCTTTTCTGAAGAAACACTCACATGAGTTCATGAAGGTCATAACACATTTCCATAATTACAGTTTAAAACATAGGGTAATGGTATGATTTTCATCAGATTGTATTTTTCAATTTATTCTAATTACTCTATCGATAATAACAATCCTTGTATTTGATACTGCAGTTATCATTTATAGGTGAACTCATCAGCCAAGCTTTGTATAGCAATTATCCACAAATAGCCAAGATGTCAATGATTAATTTTGTCTGAAGGATTGTTGATCGGAACGATGGGACAGAAAGTTCCTTCTCTTTTTGAATAGTGCCATGACATGTTTAACTTCCCCCTGAACCTCGGTTTATCATCTCATTCGACGAATGATCCCTCTTACAATGCAGTGCTCTCCCAGCACTGGAGTGGCAGCTATGCTGGAAACAGGAAGAAAGTCAGTTATTGCATATTTTAATAACAACAACTTGCATTTATACAGCAATCTCCACGCCGGGCGACGCCTCAGAGTGCTTAACCTCAAAGCTTTAACCTCAAACTTCAAAGAACACTTAACAACTGACATTTTGGTTGGTTGGTAAAGATCTCATGACCTGATAATTTTACAATAATATATCAAGTGTCATAAAAACATAAGGTTGTGTCAGCCTGGCTCAGTGGTAGCACTCTCGCTGCTGAGACAGAAGGTTGTGGCTTCAAGCCACACGTTGGGATTTGGAATCACGTAGTCTAAATCGACACTCCAATGCAGTGCTGAAGCAAATGTCAGAGTGTCAAATGTGCTGCATTGTCAGAGGTGACAATGTTAAACTGAGGTCCTGTCTGCCTGTTCAGGTGGATGTTAAAATTCTCATGGCTCTATTTGATTCCACTATCTCATTGCCTGGTGTCCTCACCAATAATTCCCCTTAATAACATGGCTTCGCAGTATAATCCTGTGAAGTGCTTTGAGACATCTTGATGATGTGATGAGGCGCTAATTTATTTAAAAATTACCTGACTGAACTGTTGTTAGGATTTTGCATATCTTGATGCAGTTTTATTACCCATTCTTGGTATTCTTGTTTCTGGATAGCCATTAATTGCTTAAGTTCATTGGCCCATTTATTTTCCAAAACCTAATAGTAGAAATTATAACAAAATACAGAAAAAAAATCAGTACAACAACAACTTGCATTTATATAGCGCCTTTCATGCAGGGCAGCGTGACGGTACTTAGATATGTATAAATTCTCAACAATGTTACTGAAGTTTAAATCTCTGCAACGACAGGCTTCTCTACCGTTAGCTTATTTGTCATGCATCAATATAGTTCATTGCGAAACTCACAAATACAGTGTGAAGATACTCAGCCAGAATAGTACCGTGACAGTGAATAGAGATCTTTATAGAAAGCAGTACTCAGTTAACTGCAGATTAATCAACACTAGAGATGAATATTTAGCTTTTCTCTTCCCTTTGCAGGGCTTTGTATTAGCACCTTCTTACTTTTTGATTTTTTAAAAAAGGCATAAAATGTACAAATTATCGAATCCCCAATAGCATCAGGTGACAAAATGGATTAAAGTATAAATTCCATTTTTTTCCCATGCTTACTAAAGATTAGTAAATCCTTTTATACTAGCATTTTCCTGTGCTAACAGAATACAGGATTGATGTTATGCTCTCTGCAGTCGGAATTGCATTACCTGCTGCGATTTGAAATGCTCGGCAGCAACTAAGTTTACGTCCTGATCTGTAAGGCTATTTCCTAGTTCTTGCATCACTTTATCCATTTCCACAGATTGTCTGTTCGGAAAAAAAAAGTAGAGGTATTGATTTAATGAGAAAGGATGAAAATGCCAAACCAAATACAAAAAAAAATACATGATACACTCTGGATCAAGATCACATCAGGACAAAATAAATTTGTTGCTGGAATCCAATGACTGTGCTCAGTGTTGTCCAGTTCTCTGTTTCCCTTTGTTGGCTGAGTTTTGAACGATTCTTGTCTGGGTTTTGATGGATTATGGAAGATGAGGTAAATAGTCTTGATGATTGATGAGGGAATATAATTTAACAGTCAATTATTATTCATAAATTTAAAAAATGCACAAACCTTTCCTGCAACTTCTTTAGTTCTATATCCCTTTCACTAATAAGTTCTGAAACTCTTACAAAGTAATTGTGTTCCAAATTGAGCAGAGTCTCAGAAGCTGGAGAATGAATCAGCTCATGATAAACATCTGCAAAGTCTTCATCCCAACTCGGCTCTTCGGGCCTTGCATGTTCCAATGTGGTCTAGGAAAAAAAAATGTAAATTTAAATATTTGTAAATATAATACAATTTGTACATTTTATTAAATGAAGATATTGTAACTCGACTTGACACATGACAAAGTAATAGGGGAAAACCAAATGAGCCGACCAACATTAAGAAGTTAAGCAGCTGTCCATAAACATAAATATTAGACAATATAATTTAAACTACTCCCGTGCTCAGTTTTTTCTGACAAATACACAGACTGACTAGATCTTAAGCAATGATGGCATTAACAATCATATTATTTCTACTAGACCCGAGTTACTGTGAAGATAATCACATTATAATGGTAGCCTAAATATTGATAGAAAAGAATCATTATTCATTGATAATAGAAATTATCAACTGATCTTCCAACTATCCTTAAAAATAATCTCAGTCAAGAAATGGTACCCTTCCAGCGTGACAAGTCACCACTGAAGTCGCTTCCCGGGTGCTGTGCACGTGCTCATTCATATCACCTCACCATTTTATGAGATCACAATATTTCAAAGTCCATTTCATAATCTTTCTTCATATCTCTTATTGTCTTTATTTCCCAAGTTACTATCTATCCTCTCCTATAAATGCTTAGATTTTACATTTGAGTGCATCCGGGGCAGTGCATGACATATTCTCAGAACACAATATTTAACAAAGTCAATCTTATAATTTAAAACCATACCTCATGATAAGCTTTAGCCCAGGCATCAGTTAGCTGTTCTACACCCATGTCACAATTTATAAATTTGTCTAAGGCCGTTTCAGCTTGCTGGTCATAACTTTTATTGGTTTCTTCCTCTATAAACTGGTCAAGGGCATTTTTTAAATCTGTAAAAGAAATGTTTTTTTTATTCATGATTTTTCCTTCCCCCCTCCCCCCCAAAAAATCACTTCAGTTGATTTAATCTATTGATTTCTTTTGGATCAGTCTAATCCGATCAACTACATTTTTAACAGAACATTACACAACTGATAATATTGCGTTTTGGGAATTATGCTTTAATCTGAAGCAAATGGAACTATCTGACAAGTATAGGCACAGACACGATGAGCTGAATGACTTTCTGTGCAGTAAATTTTCTATAGTTCTAAATGCACAAGTAGAAATAGGAAGTGATTTGCTTGCTACAATCAATTAGTGTAAAACTACTAGAGGAGCACAGACTCATTTGAAGGGTATTTTGTGTTCCAATTGAAATCTGGAGTTAAAAGGCAGAAAAATATTAATAGGAAACCTAGGATATCGTTGGAAGGATAGGGGCAGGAAAATGGACAGGCTCAGATCAAGATTAATTTTCTACATTTGGCAGAAGAAAGGATTCCTGGTTGAAAGGAAATGTGTAGGAGGGAGGACTCTCTCCTAATCAGGTTAAGGCCTGTAAGATGGGTGTCCAAAATAAAAAAAATAAGCTTGAGGATTGAGGGAAAGGAGAGGAACTTCATCCTAGGAGACCTTGCTAGACCTGTAAAAACTGTTCATGCTGCATCAAGTCTCTTTTACTTGTCTGCCCCATCAATTTAAAGGAACGTTGTATCTTCATTGAACAAAGGATTGTACATACTCAGATATTCAAAAAATTGATGTTAGGAGGGAGAATTGACAGCATGAAATACGGCACAGTAGAGCAGCTCGAGGTGAACTTTTAATTGATTGAAAAAAATATAATTTTACTTACCATTCTCAACAAAACATGGAAGATTGTGTAGGAGCATAAGCCGTCCATGTAAATCACTCATACTCCCTTTCATAGGGATCCTCAGGGGCGCAGTTAATATACATGATTGCTGTCCTGCCTTAAAATTAAAGATAAAATCTTTTTCCAAAGAACGAAAACTGGCAGAACTTTCTTTCATTCTTGTGCTCGTCAACATCTCTGCAGTTCTGAAATCAACAGTTAACATATACAGAATTTACTGTAAAAAAAAATATTTTGGGAATTTCCAGCATTTTTTTCTAAAACATTATAGGTAAATTACCCATTACAGGTAATTCAAGATAAAGCTGCTACAGAAAGCTTTCCTCTCAATCCATAGAAAATAATACTGCAATCTAGATCTATTGAAGTGACTACAGTGTTCTGAAGCAGAAGAATAAAAAATACTCCCAGTAATTAAATATAGAACATAATAATGATAATTATTGCATTTGGTAGAGTCTTTTCCGTTGGGTCGATGTCCCAGCAGTGCGGCAGTCAATTTACGCACAGCAATGTCCCACAGCCAACCATGAAATGAATGACCAATTTTATTTGGGGGATTATTGCCAAGACAATAGGAGAACCTCCCTTCTCTTTTCACATAGTGTCTTCAGATCTTTAACGTGCGCCTGAACAGGCAGATGGGGCCTTGATTTAACGTCTCATCTGAAGGATGGAACCTCTGACAAGACTGCGCTCCCCCAGCACTGTATTGAACTGTCAGTATGGACTCTTGAGTTCCAAGTCGCAAAGTGGGGCTTGAATCCACAACCTTATGACTCAAGAGATGGGAGTGCTACCAACTGAGCCAGACTGACGCACTACATAGGGACTAATACAATGATAACATAACTTTATCCTGATCTCATAGGCATTAAGCGAAAATAATGTTTTGTTCAACAATAAATAACAGTAAATACAGTGCTGTTAATGCACCTAGACTAGTATGGTAGAACCCCAAAAAAGTTCAATTTCCTTCAATAACTGTACTCTCCTCCCACGTCTCAGATCCTATGGTCATCATTACAACTCATAAAAGGTTATTCAGCTATGTCCCAACCTTAAAGTTTACAAGACTCAGTCTCATTTTGCAAAGTTAACAACTTTACAGTAATTCTGAGAAATGGTTTAAGATGTCATCCTGACGTCAAAGATGCCATAGTAAATCTAAGGATTATTACTAACATTTTAAAATTAACAATATCTGAAATTATATTGTTTAAAAGCAACTTTAAAATAAGAACATTGTATTTATAAGCTTTAGGATGACATCCTGAAAGATTTGCTCAATAAAAGTGTGGTTTCAATAATTTATTAACATTGCGTTTGATTCTAAAACACCAGTTTAGTTTAAACATCAACATCCTGATCTTAAAGTTAATGAGGTAATATAAAAATGTTAGTTTATGGAGTCTGGCCACAAATATCCAGAGCTACGTTTGCAAATATGTTGAAATGTGTTGCTGAGGGCAATCAAGCTCTTAAGCACCCAACAGTAAACAGGAAACTGACAGATAAGTTAAATAAACCATTTCATTTCACTAAGAAAAGGGTCATGTGAGCTAACGCTACCATTTAGACCATCGTATCATAGGATTACTTAAAAAATCTGAAAGGGTCATTAAGCGCAAAAATTACAGTTCTACATTATTTATTATGTCCTAATACCTGTCCTCTCACCAGATCACTCAGCCCCACATCTTTGTCATGACCCGCTCTGCCTTCCCCCATCTCTGCAACATCGCTTGGCTCCGTCAGCGTCTTACACCACAGGCGGCTGAGACCCTCATACATCCATTCATAACATCCAGGTTCGACTGCAAACTCCCTGCTTGTCAGCCTCCCCAACTCTTCAAGGTCCTCCATGGCCTTGCTCCCTCCTAACTCTGCGACCTCTTGATACCCTAACGACCTGCCTGCTTCCTCTGCTCAGCAGGTTTCAGTCTGCTTCACGTCCCCCGCCTCACCATTGGCGGACGGGCCTTCTGCAACTCTGCTCCCACCCTCTGGAACTCTATCCTGCAGTCCCTCCACCTAATACCCTCTCTTGCCTCCCTCAAGACCCTCCTCTTCGACCTTGCCTTCTGTCCCCCTCCTTGCCCCACTGACCTCCACCCTCCCTGATCCCTGACCCCCAGCTCCGGTCTGAGACACTGATTGTTCCATGTCTTGGCACTTCTTCCCGATGTGAAAATGTAATTTTGTTGTTGTTCTTCTCTCTTCAGGGGAGAAAGTGCTGTGACTCAAACGCTGGATTTTTAGTGGTAGGTGGGGGGGCCATTTGCAAGCAGATCACATTTAAGATAATTTGGTTACTTAATACTTGCATGCTAAGGGCTACGTGTGAGAGATTATTTCATGAGGGCCGCACGATGGAACATTACAATGATCAAAGCTGGGTATTTAAGCAGCTCAGAATTTCTGAACCAATAGTCTGCAACAGCTCACGACTAGACTAGTCAGAGAAATAACCTTTTCCATGCCATATTTCAAAGAGTCAAGTGAAAGCTGAATGGAAATCAAACCAAGTTGGTGTAAATCTGACGTAAAAGAGAAATTTTCCACAGGACGTAATAATATAGAAACCTAGTCTTGTGGAACTTGGGTATTGCTAGACAAAAAAATACCAAGGCCCATCTAGTTCACCTTCTACTATTCTGGTAGTTGTGATCTGAATGTTAAATGAAGCCTGCTAAACCACAAGCCAACATGATTTGAGTAAAAGACTCTAAAACTACAACCTTTATTTGGCTTTCCTACCTCCACTCGGTAACTGAACCACACACACTGGGAGACTTTACAATTCTGACCTCTCCGTGACATAAAACAAAAATTGTGGGCTGATTTGAGTCTGTATTGTCTCGACTGAGTTAGCTGATTTCAGCCAGGCTGACTGTAGAGGTATTTCAATTGTTCTTATCACTTTGGATTGGGTTGGGGGTAACCACAAAATAAACTTCCCACAGATCCTTTGTTGGAACTGTGTATATTTGGAGAGGTCAGGATAATGTTATGCTGTGTTATTCTCAATTGTCATGCAGCACTATTAAGGCACATCTAAATAATATTCACTTGGACAATGAATCAACAGTACTTTTAGACAATGCTTGATGGTGAAGTCATGTGATGGAGAGATAAGGAACTCAGGGAAGGTGAGGGTGGGATAGGGAAAAGGCAAAGGAGGGATTAGGAATCAGATATGACAAAAATGGGATTGGGAAAAGTCACAGGTGAGGAAAAGCTGGGTTGGGAAAAAGTCATAGATGAGGAATGGGGTGGGATTGGGAAGAGTCACAGGCAAAATAGGATGGGATTGGGAAAGGTGTGATTGGGGAGTCACTGACGAGATGAGAGTGATATTGGGAATAATGACTGGGAAGTACTGCTGCTTTTCATTAAAACATTTTAAAGCAACTTTCGCATCTGTAAATGGCCTTTGGAATTGCATCCCACGGTGCAATTCGCCTTGTTCCCTCAAGACCCTCCTAACATAACATAACATGTAGGAGTAGGCCATTCGGCCCTTCGAGGCTGCCCCGCCATTCAATCATGGCTGATCTTCTAATCTATCTCCAGCTAATAACCTGACCCTGCCTTATCCCCATATCCCTTAATCCCTTTTGCAACAAAAAATATATCTATCTCAGTCCTGAATATGTTCAAGGACTGAGCGTCAACAGCCCTTTGGGGTAGTGAGTTCCATACATTCACTGCCCTTTGAGTGAAGAAGTTCTTCCTCAACGCAGTGCGAAAGGGCTGCCTCTGATTTTAAGGTTGTGACCCCTGGTTTTAGTTTCTCCAAACGGGGAAACAATCTCCCACTATCTACTCTATCATTGCCCTTTGATGATCTTATAGGTTTCTATAAGATCCCCTCTAATTCTTCTATATTCTAGAGAATGTAGGCCCAAGTTGGTCAGCCTATCCTCGTAACTCATCCCCTTCATCCCTGGTACTAACCGAGTAAATCTACGCTGCTCCCCCTCCAAGGCAAGTACATCCTTCCTTAAATGAGGAGACCAAAACTGCGCACAGTATTCCAGGTGTGGCCCTATACAGTTGCAGCGAGACTTCCCTACTCTTAAGACTCTAATCCTTTACATAATGAACGCCAACGCACCGTTCGCCTTCCTAACCGCTCGCTGCACCTGCGGAGGTGGACGAGGGGGCAGCCCAAGTCCCTCTGTGGACGCCGACACGTTCCAATCCCTCCCCTTTCCTTTTTTTAAAAAAAATAACCCGCTCTCCTGCTGTTGCCACCGAGAGGCGGATGACTTCGCGCTTCCCTCCGCGACACATCGTTATACTTAATACGACTCTTCGACAGCGCTTTCGATCGGCCGCCCACACCCCCCTACACACCCCCCACACCTGATCCCAACCCCCAACTCGGGTGCAGTCCCTGAGGTCCTCCCCAATGAAAGGCGCTGTACACACATGTAATTTGTTGTTGTTGTTGTTGTTGTTGCTCAGTTCGGTGGCCTCTTACCCGCAGGTCAGACACAGCAGGTGCCGGGGGGGGCGGGGCGGGGGGCGGGGGGCGGGGGGGGGGCTCCCGGGTCTGGGGTACAGTGCCTTCTTCTGAAGAGACTCGTGGGTGGAGGTTTTTTTTTCTCTCTCTCTCTCACTCTCTCTTTCCTTCCTCTTCCTCTACGGGAAGGGGATGGACGGTCGGGGAGAGTCTCTCTCTCTCTCTCCCTCTCTCGCTCCGACAGCGTCGCCGCCGCTTTGCCGCCTCCCCGATGCCGAAAGCAGCCTTCAACCCGCCACCGGGGCTTTCACCCGGACTGCTCTCGGCACCAGTTTTCCTCGTACCCCCACCTTTCAGTCGAGAACAGATCGACAATTCTGACTCCCAATAAATTTATCTTTTTTTTTTGGGGGGGGGGGTTGGTGTGGAACCCGATATGGGAGGGAGGGAGAGGGCAAAGAGGGAATGTGGCTGAAGCTGCGAGTAGCGAATGTGCGTCCGGGAGCCGACCGCTGGCTGCCGAGCCCAGGCCGCGGGCAGCGACGGTTTGGCGTGTGAGCGGCGCCTGCGCGAGAGGGCGCGCGGGGCTTCCAGCACTTTCTGGCCGTCCCCCTGAGAGCCGTTGAGAGCGAGCGGGCGGGCGGCCCGGGCCGTCACTGAGCTGCAGTCCAGTCAGTCAGTCAAGTCAGTTAGTTAAGTCAGGTTATTTGTTTTATCAACACTTATGGCCAGACCCGCAAGGTTCGTGAGTAAACTACCAAAGCAGCTTATTTAAACTGGGCCCGAGATAAAATGGTCGGTCGGTCGGTCTGCGGGTGTTTTGGCCGCTGGTCCGTGTGTTCTGTGTTCGCGCCGTTGCTGGGAATGACTGACCGGGAAGTGCTGCCTTTCGTTGAAACGTCTCAAAGCAACTTTCGCGGCCGTTGGCGTTGAAACTCGCGGCCCGCGATCCCAGCGTCCGGTTGAACGACAACCGCTTTGTATTTATTTGGGTCGCGCCCCCCTCGCACCGCGCTCGACCGCGGCGGCGGCGGAGAAAGCCCCCGACGGCTGATCCCTTCCGCGCACCTTTTCTCTTCTCGCTCCTCTCCAGTTTGCCCCTTAGTTTGGCTTATGTTCCCCCCCCCCCAAAAAAAAAATGTACAGTCCATGCACTTTACGAGTATGTTCTGTGAAGCGCTATGAGACGTCTCGATGTGTGGCCATAAGGCTCTACATCCAATGCGAGGATTATTGTTATTATTATTATTGCCCTCATAAGATCACAGGATCGATCACAAGGTCCCCCCCACACCCTGACCATTCCCCCCCCCCACTGCTCGGGTCCCGACCCAACTGTCCAGCGCCTCGGGACGTCCTCCCGACGTGAAAGGCGCTCTACAAATGCAATCTTGTTGTTGTTGTTGTTGTTGGGCCCACCTGCGCTCATTCCAACAGAACACCCGCCCCCTATCATCCTCCCATCGCAACGTCACACTTTTTTTTAAAAACAATTCCAGTGCCCTGGCCTCCACCACCCTTCGAGGCAACCTGTTCCAGTCGTTAATTACCCTCTGAGTAAAGAGGGCATTTTGACTTATTTTTCTTTCCACTTGGTTGCTGTGGGCCCTCTGGCACTTTGTGACGTGGAACCATGACACAATGAGTTGGGAGGAATGTGTGCCTGCTTCCCAAGTCGTGGGCACGGATGGTTGGCCATGCTTTTAATAATAATAATAATAATAATAATAATCCTTGCATTTGATATAGCGCTTTTCACGTCGGGAGGACGTCCCAAAGCGCTTCACAGAACACACTGTAAAGTGAATTGACTGTATATTTGTGGGCGAACGCGGCAGCCAATTGCGCACAGCAATGTCCCACAAACAGTCGTAGATTGAAAATGACCAATTTAATTATTGTTTTTGGTTTTGGAGGGATTATCATTAGACTCTGTGTGGAGTAAGGAAACTTGCCCAAGGTTTCGCCCTGACCTGGAATTGAACTCAGGTCTCTCGCTTGCAAAGCGAGTGCTCTAACTACTGAGCTACAGGACTCCACATTAAGCTTTTCATGGTGAGCTGTGCTGCTCACCCAAGACGCTTTCAGGGAATTCCTGGTACCTTCTATTCACCCAGTGAGGATTCAAACCTGTACTTGTCAGATATCTGATGACCGTAAGTGATGATCTCCCTTGGATGGATGTAAGCGAGTTTTTCTTGCCTCAGGTGATGTGCTTGGTAATATCAGAATTGGTATATCATTCTATGGTGGTCTTGATAGTCAAGTTCTTCACCCAGGCGGGTCCTCAGTATACCAAAACAATGTTAATGACAAGACAAAAGACAGTCAAACAAACACACATTTTTGGGACGCTCTTTGGTTATATGTCAAGCATCCCTCTGTACATTACAAAAGTCACAAACATTCAGACTGATGAGCAGTGGGAGGTGTGCCAGATAGTGTTTGCAATGGCAAGCTATTCTGTTTCAGCAAATTAAATTCCAGTGGCGTTCAAAGGTAAATTTTGTGAACAGGAGGAACTGTTTGGATACTGTTCACATAGTGATTGGTTGTATGAGTCAGACACCTACTCACCACCTTTGGTCTTTCTTTATGTGCCTTGGGATGTCCTCCCAATGTGAAACGCATTGTATAAATGCAACAATGAACATTAGCTGGTTTTTCAACCCTCAAATGTATATCATTGCCAAACATGATGTGATCTAAATTGCTTCCCAAAGCATATTAAAAGTTATGTTTTTGGTTCCCACACCAGAGTCACACTCTGATAAAATTCTGTTTTACACATGTTGTTCTGAGTGGGCTGATTGACTACTTTAGACTCATTACTAGTTTCTCCAGCTTGTGAATCATTAAATACACTTTGTACAATAAATAAAACATCAGTGGATTATTCAAAAAAATTATTATTCCTTCCCTGCCAGCCATTCCCCGAAAGGGGCTCGGGACCACCCCCAAAACCGAAGTTTTAATTTTAAACTGTTTTTCTCAAGTGCAAAATATTTGTGAGTTTCTTGACTTGATCATGTTTAAAGAAGAAATTTAAGCCCAGAAATAATGTCCCAATACCTACTTTTAGGGTTTACTAAATTATCAGAAAGGGTGATTGAGGCCAAGTCACTGGACTGACTCATTGTAGAGTAGGTATGCTGCAAGGATGAGATAAAAAGGTCTTCTTCATCTGAACCAAATTTGTGACATTGAGGTTCTTCCATCCTCCTTGTTTACAGTCTGGATTTAATTTCTACAAAAAGATAGTATTGTCTCAAATGTCTTACATGTTCTCTCCACTCTCTGTGGAGTCCTGTAGCTCAGTGGTTAGAGCACTCGTTTTGCAAGTGAGAGACCTGAGTTCAATTCCAGGCAGAGGGCGAAACCTTGGGCAAGTTTCCTTACTCCACACGCCTGATAATAATCCCTCCAAAACAAAACAATAATAAATTGGTCACTTTCAATCTATGACTGTTTGTGGGACATTGCTGTGCGCAATTGGCTGCCGCGTTCGCCCACAAATATACAGTCAATTCACTTTACAGTGTGTTCTGTGAAGCGCTTTGGGACGTCCTCCCGACGTGAAAAGCGCTATATCAAATGCAAGGATTATTATTATTATTATTATTATTATGTTTGAATCATCGACTTTTCCCGCTGTCTGTAATGTATCCCCAGGCCAGCATCATTGCAGACAGCGGGAAATGTTTTCAAAATTAGCTCTCTTTATCCATCTATCTGTCCCTGTCAGTGAGTGATAGGAATAGACAGGAGGTCTGATGGATATAGAGAGGAAAAGAGGGATTCTTTTAGTTTATGGTTTTGAATTTCTTGCTGTCTGTAATGATTACTTAATGTAAAGTTTAAAAATATCACATTGTGTTCCTTTTATAAGTTCTGTGCCATTACATAAAACCTGGGAAAAGCAAAAGAGAGAAGACAATTTCCTCTAAATCTAAGAAATAATTTCCCTTTATTTTTAAAATTCTTTACATTAAATATCTTTATAAGTCTGAACATATAATTGTCTGGAAGTTATGAGGCACTCGCACAATTAAGTTTTGATGTCATCCTAATCTAAATATTGTCAAATCAACTGATATTGGTATAACTGGACTGAAGTCACTTAAGTTTTTGAAGATTATGCCTCTTTTTTAAAAAAAGTTTGCTTCGATGTCCAATACCTTGGGTGTCATTTTTATCCATGATCTGTATTCCTGTCAACAGATCAAAAAGAGTTGTCGATTATTCACAGTTTGGAGACTTTGATGATGAAGGTAAATATTCTGAACAAAAATGAAAAAAATTGCTTTGTTTTAGACTAACATGTAAATTCTCTCATTTAAAAACTCATGAATATCGAAATAAAGAAAATGATTGCAACCCATGCAGTTCTCCCCTCTGGCCGCCCGCCCCCCACACTTCTTGAAGTCCTGTTCTAACTCATTGTTGATTCAAGAATTGGTTTGATTCCTTTAAGTCAGGCTTTCAGCATTTCTGCCCCTATCCTACAACCCAGAGTCTCTTTGCCTCACCCTTTCCCTTGTCTCCTTCAAGGTCTGTCTCGAGACCTTTCTCTTTGAATGTGCCTTCGGTCATGTTTGCACCTATATCCAGCTTGCTTCCTACCTCTTAAATCTATCCAACCACAGCTTGGGTGCAAACCCTTGACTGTCCAACATCTTGGGATGTCCTCCTGACACGAAAGGCCCTACGTAAATGCAGTTGGTTGTTGAAAATATGTTTTACAGTGTTTTTCACTTGTGTAAATAACAGCAACAACTTGCATTCATATTGCCCCCTTCGTGCGAAAAGTGTCTTGGAATGCTAGGGTGTGTGTAATAGAAAGATAAGTGTGTATAAATGAAAGATGTACATCAATTTTTTTTGTTATAAAGATGAAGATTTTGCATGTTCATCAGCCCCTCCAAGCAAAAAGTCACGTGTAAAAATTAAAGAGGTTCAGCAGAAAAAGGAAAAAATCATCACAAAACCTAACAGTCAAGAAACTAACAAGAAGCCAATTCAGCAAAGGTGAGTTTGATTTGTCACGTAAGCAAGGTTTGGTGAGCATTAGTTATTATAGTGAATTTCTGTTTTGCTGTTGTACTCATCAAGAGGAATGTATTCTAGGAAATAAAGTAGATTCTCTGTGTACCCGTTTGTGTTAGCATTAACTACCGGTTACCAGATTAACTTCATAATATTAGCTTAATAGTCATAAGGTGATTTATGACTAGTAAGTATTCCCTGTTTTTAGACGATAAGCATTTGATTTTCCCTTTCTCTACATCTACCATATTCAGTATGCTTGATGTATAAACATAAAAAATTAAACCATCACTTTTTTAAATTGTATATTACAACAAATACAAACTACTTATTCATGTTAAAGAGTTTTTTTTTGGTCAGCCAGGTGGAAACACATTACCATGTTTAAGAGTATCCAAACCGGACTGAGAGTTCCCCATATGTATGCAACATAAGCATGGAACTATCCTGTGTCTTTAATTCGCACTCTCCCTGGAAGGACGCATTATATTTACCTAAATCCAGCGAGTATTAGGCATAGGTTCAAGAACCAAGGTTCAGGGGTTCCAAAGTTTGTGTTGGGTTATTGCTGGATCTTAACCAGCTAAAATCACAAAGGTTGCATTAAGAGTTGTGTCTGGCAAGGTTCCTGCTACTTGTCCAGCTAGGACCACCATACCCATTAAGGCTTTGGGTTGCAAATGGGAAGAATTAATCTTCCAAGCAAAACATGAGTCCATCTTCCAGACCTGTATCAGTCATAATTTTAATTTAGAGTCCTGGAAGCAGAACACACCTTCTCCTTGTTCAATTAATAATGTTGAAAATGAACTTTAAAATAATTGTTTGAATATGTTCAGCAAACAAATCAGTGATTGCTAACAAATATACTTCATCTATTAAATGAAAAATGAAAAATATAAATAATATTGTTCTTTGTAAACAATAATTTGGGGGAGAACAACAACACAACAACAAGATTCCATTTATAAAGCGCCTTTCACGTCAGGAGGACGTCCCAAGGCGCTGCACAGTTGGGTCATGACCCGAGCAGGGGGGAAATGGTCAGGGTGAGGGGAGGGAAGGGAGGGAGCGAGGAGGGGGCAAAGGGTCAGGGTGAGGGGAGGGAAGGGAGGGAGCGAGGAGGGGGAAGAGAGTCGAGAGGGGAGCTGAAGGCTCGGTCAAAGAGAAAGGTTTTGAGACCGGCCTTGAAGGAGGAAAGGGAGGAAGCGGCGAAGGCACTGGGGGATGGAATTCCAGAGCGTATCTCATGTTTATTTTTCTTTGTTTGGCTCAATAATTACCACCACTGTTTTCATGTTTGTTATGTATTTCCTTATCACATCAAGACTTTTTTTATCCACAATCTCTGTCTGCACATCAATGAGATTGTTTTTCAAGCATTTAACGTGTTGGATTGCTTCATGTCACAGATTGCCACTTGATGAAAAGCTTTACCAGAGGAATTTGGAAACTGCCATGGTGCTATCAATGCAGACATCAACTGGGAAAGGTGAGAACTGGATTTCAGAAGACTCTCCAAATAAGTTGTTTAGTTTCGGCTGCAATTTGAAATGGAAATTCAACCTTTTTAGAAGTTTCAGGAGTAGGCTAGAGTTCATAATGGTTTTGAGGTTCACACACAATCATATTTTTTCAATATTTGTTAAATTGCCATATATTATCCTTTATTCTGGTCTAGTTTCTTGAATACAGTACTGTAGTTCAAATACTCAAACAGGTTTGATTGTATTTATGCCTCAAATATATAAAATGTTAAAACCTATATATAGAATTTGGAGTTGTATAAATAAGGGGTTAAGTACATTGTCACATTTTGTCTTGGGCACATGATGGAAGATTTCGAAAAGAGAATATTGTATTGTGATATATATTTTACACTCCAGTTTGGTTTTTGTAAAATAGGAATATAAATGTTACTCGTTTCATTTATTAAATTGAGATTTTAAGCCTCCTGTAATTTTAAACTGTTTGAATAAATTTAAACTCACCAAGTTGGATTATGGATATAGTAACAGAGTTTTCCTGAATGAGAACTTTTAGCATAGCTTAGTTATGTTTTGCAAACTTTATGGTAGTACAGTGGTTATTTGCACAAGCTTTTTAACATGCATGTTGTACAATGTTTAATAAACAGTTAATGAGGCTTCTTCAGACAAGGAAGGTGCAAGTATAAATGAATCTCCATTACTCTCCAACTGCACGGTAGACTGCAATTTACTGGGTAAGCTTAGCAAATCAAATTATGATTGGTAAAAGATAATGATTGCCCATTGTTGAATGTAGTTCAAATTGGTCACTCTCTTACTGCTGTTCTCTTTCTGTTAAATTACCTATGGGCATAATATTTTATCACTGTTGTTTCATGAGTTATAGTTAACAAATGCTTACCAGGTTGCTTACTGTCTATGCAGTAACAATTTTGTTATTCATTCCACGATGCTTTTTATCCAGTCTTTTACTATCCAGAGTGCAGCAGTCACTCTGTTCCACATCACATTTCTAACCCGTGGGGACTTATAAATAGTCAATCATCTTCACATGACAAAGGAATCTGTTATTAATCTAACTATATTCACAGTATAATGTAACTTTGGTATACAATTATTCTGTAGTGGCTATTATAAAAGGATCTGAAAGTGTACTTTAGCATTGGTGATAGAATTGGAAGCATAATAATTCTACTGCTAACATTTTACTGAATAAAATGTGTGATGAAAAATCAATTACCAATGTAGTAGTACTCCTAAGACTCTGCCTTGCCAAAGTTTACTTCTTCAAGTAGCTTTGAGTTAGAACTCAAAGTCACATTTGTACGTGTACAACAATATGTTCTTTAGTTCAGTCAGAACAATTAAGATTATCTATACTAATGAAGATGAAATGTCTGTCTGTGTGTGTGTCCCAACAGGAGTCCTCCCAACAGGAGTCCTCCCACTGAGTCTTCCCACTGAGTCCTCCCATAGGATTCCTCCCAAAAGGAAATGTGTACAAATATGGGATGCTAACGAGTTCAGTAGCATATTTTCTTAAGGGATAAAGAAGCCTAAGAAGCAAATATCAAACCTTTCAAGGACAAATAAAAATGCCAGACGAAAGAGAAAAGGCCGATTAAAATAAATCAGCTAGTTATCGGTAACTGATGTCTTTCTCCAGGACTGGATAAGATTACAAATGAAAATGAAGTGCCCTCAGTTGGATGTAAACAGAGGGAAGCAGCTTCCAAAGCCGCATCAAAGCAGAGACAAATTCTCTTGGATGATGAAAGTAGTGAAGGTGAAAAGGATGATGAAAACGCTCTTGATTATTCACCAAGTAAGTACTATATTAAATACCTTAAATGACAATCCTTAGATAGACTTTTTATTATAATAATAAAATCTTGCATTTGATACAGCGCCTAATCACATTGTTGAGACGTCTCAAAGTATTTCACAGGATATATTGTAAAGTGTAGTGACTGTGTATTTTGTGGGCGAAACGTGGCCCAAGGAATCGCAACTTGAAGTCAGCACACTAATATGGTCAGCTCGCTTATGTGCTCAGTTTTTGTAGTCTTTTTCATTGTAACATATATAGCTAAATAATAAAAACTCACCAGTGCAAGATGAGTACAGTAAAACTCTTTAAGGAAGGAAAACGTAAGTCTGATCCGTATAGATCATATAATCACCTAAGTCGTACATCTACCCAAGTTCTGTTGAATTTCCTATTCAATCCACTTACATTTTTAATAATGATTGTATCATCTCCCACTGAAAAAANGGCAATAAAATCAGGAAAGGCAACAGGAACATTCAAATAAAACATTTACAGAATAATAAAACAGGTACATGAAAATGGTTGTTCCAGAAAATTATGGATCTGAAGATGTCTCTAGCCAGTTCAGTACTTGTTATACGTAAGTCATATAAAATCCACCTTCTACATAACTTTACATAAGTCGTATATGATAAAACGTATGCAAGTTTGACATAATTTATAATTTACATAAGTCATATTAAATTTATGGTCCCGACTGATATGACTTAGGTTTACTGTAAACCGATATGTTAATCCATTGGGCCCTTTTATTGTTTTCTACTGATTAGTATTTGGCTTCAATAGTAAGTTTTTTTTTGCTCCATTTCCTTGACTGGTCATCATTTTGGCTCTCAATTTAGAGTATTGTGCAGGATAGAGTGCGAACACTTTAAAGGCACAATGCCAAGTACAACTATTACGTACTTGGCAGTCATTTCACATTCTTCTATGATGATAAATAGGTCTTCTGGCGTTTTGATATTGCACCATCATTGGAAACTCTCCATTTGATATTGTGCCATTTGTCTGACTCACAATTTGATTTTACCAAAGAATTAAACCTTATTTGCCATATGGCTGTGTGCAGGTGTATTAAAAGTAAAAACACCACAGCCCAAGAATAACACAATACTGCATGAAATACTTTGTTAACTTCCAAAACATTTTATTCTTCATTGCAGTCAGGTTATCTTTGGTTTGACACAGAGTTTCTCCAAGGTGTAAAATCCCAACATGCTGGAATACTGTAGTTAATAATAATAATCCTTGCATTTGATATAGTGCCTTAATGGTGAAAGCTACCAAGGAATTATTTAATATGCATTTTGTAGTTCAGTGCTACCCACTTATCTCTATCCCGTTTATATCGACATCCTGGGTATGTTGACAAACATTTGAAGTCCTGGGCCCTTCCCTGTTTAGGAACACATGAAACTTTATATAAATTACAGAAATTTTGGCATGCTACATCGACAACTTGTTCAAGTTCCTAACAGCATTAACTACATTGTGTTCTCACTGCTTTTAATAATAATATAATAATGATACTAATAAGCCAGAGGACTCAGGTTTGATTCCCGGTCAGGGCAAAACATTAGGCAAGTTTCCTTACTCCACACATATGCCTCTGATAACCTAGCAGTAAGTAGGAACCCACTTGTTAGTTGATTGGCGAATCCCTTCCGTGGGTAATAATCCCTCCCAACAAATAATAATTTGATCACTCGATCCAGGACTGTTTGTGGGGCACTGCTGTGCACAATTAGCTGCCACGTTTCGCCCACAAAATACACAGTCACTACACTTTACAATATATCCTGTGAAATACTTTGAGACGTCTCAACAATGTGATTAGGCGCTGTATCAAATGCAAGATTTTATTATTATAATAAAAAGTCTATCTAATAATAAGTTCTATTACACTTATTTGATCTTTTGGAAGGAACGATCTCCATAAATACTCCAAAGGTTAAGCGTATAATGTTTGGAGTATTGGAAAAGACGCAACAATATTCAGTCTTCATATCTTCACTGTTCAACCCCGTCATGCTGGAGCTGTTCACTACAAACATTTCTTCCCTTAAACTCCCCACTCCTAGGCCATAAAAAACAATGATTTTATCTTGATCTGTGTTCTGTCAATATCTGCCCCTACCCCATGTGAAAGGTACTATATAAATGGATGTTGACAGCATTATAAGGGTTAATAATGTCTTTATTCAAAGATGTGGCCAGGAACTTTTTTTTTGCATCACAATCCTGTGACAGACAGGATATTCTGTTTTAAATTAACTTTTGGGAGCAATTGTACATGAATATAACACGCAGGAGAATTTGAAGAATTTATAGCTGGCTATTCTAAGTGCTGAAAGTGCCCATTTAAAGTTTTCCTTTTGGTTAACTTTTAATTTTACAATAAATGAACATTAGATTGGAATACTTTCTCATTTTCCTTATCTATTGCTTTCTAATAGAAATTTACGATGTAAACTTATTCTCCATTTCGTTTTCTAAAATAGTGATTTCCGCTATTAATTTGATGAAACAATATAACACAAAAATGTTTTTATATTTAAATGTATGTATGCATCTTACAGTATAACATTAGAATTAAATCAGTACCAAAATATATGTCCGAATGAGTTCTTAACACTTCCTCCAATGAAAAAAANGAGGCTAGGAAAATAACACTGCATTATGCAGGTTTTGGGACCAAGGGAAGAATAGTGGCTTTAGACATACACAGGGTCAAACTACCTTTTGTTAAACATGCCATAAACAAATATTATTATCATTTATTTTATGGTATGTTTTTACATTTGAAAACTTGGCTAAATTGTCAAATGTGGCAATTCTTTTAATGAGGGTTAATATGTAACTTCCTGGAAAAGCATTTATGCACAAGTCTAAATAAAGATCTAATCAGTCTACTTCGAGGCATGTATGTCAGCACGTACAGGGTGCACTATTTACAAAGAGAGTGAGGGGAAGGTCAATGAAGTGATGCTGGAAGCAAAGACTTGCCTTGAACTCAACCAGTAGACGTTAACATTCACTTGGAAATTCAATTGTGTTTCTTTTTCTATTCAATATTTTAGTTTAAAGTTAAAGAATCAAACCTGCTCTCTTTAAATCCCATATTCATGTAATTTTGTAACTAGTTGATGGAAATTGATTTTTTCTACTTTTTACTGGATAAAAAGCATTATTCTTAATAATTATTTTCCGGGGCGACAATTTTCGTACTTGGAGGATACAAAACAGAGTCAAATTGATGAAGGACCTGACGTCAGTGATGCTTCCTGCTCAAAAGCAAAGCGCATAAAATGATGTCAGCAGTGATCTGTTGACCAGGAAATTTCTTTTGTTAGAGCAGTAAATACACAGGAGCATTTGTAAGATCTATAGAAAGCTAGCTTTCAAATTGAGATTAATTTCAGAATGATCCAAAATTATGCAGAGAATTACTTAGAATGATATAGCCCAGAAACAGGGCCATTTGGCCTAAGTAGTCTTGTTGGTGTTTATAATCCACATGAGTCTCCGCCCCTCCTAATCCCCTCTTTTATATGGTTCTCTTCACTTCTCCCTCACAAAATGCATTAAATTTCTTGTCAAATACGTTGATGCTTTTTGTTTCAACCATTGCTTCCAGCAGTGAGTTAATTCCACACTCTCACCATCCGCTATGTGAAGATGTTTCTTCGTAACTCCCTATTATATCTATTATCATATTTATGCCCCTTTCAGTTTGGACTCATCAACAAGTGGAACCAGCCTATTAAAGTTCACCTATCAAATTCAAACACCTCTGTTGTCGTAAAACGGACAATGATAATTTTAGGACTCGGGTCATTCTTTATAGTTCATCCATCTATATTACTCCCCATAGTTCATCCCAGCAATGCTGAAGATCAGCCTTGGTATTCTCCTGAATACCTCTCAGAGCCTAGGCTGGATCCATATAATGATGATGATAACCACAACTTTGCATGATGCAGGCAGCCATTTCCTTTCCTAGTTACTTTTACTTCTGAAATCTGTGTGGGGGGGAGGGAGTAAGGAGTACGTTGGGAAATGCAGCTATTACATTTATGCAACGATTAAGCAGTATTTTCCAGTATTTTGTTACATTCCAGATTTCATCAGTCTGTCATTTTTTTCTCCTTATCTGCTGGTTCCAATGACCACAATAATTGACCGGGTCACATCTATGATGCAATTACAGCAATCGTTAGAATCGGGGCTTAAATTGCCAAATTCTCCATGCAACGTGATCAGAGCACTGTACATGCATGACTTATGGGATCTGATTTGGCAATGCAGTTCAACATCTCATTCACTTTTATAAGAATATAATCCTTGCATTTGATATAGCTCCTTATTATGTCTTTTCGAGATGTCTCAAAGCACTTCACAGAATATACTGTAAAGTGAATTGACTGTATACTTCGTGGGCAAAATTTGGTAGCCAATTGCGCACAGCAGTGTCCCACAAGCAGTAGTGAGACGCCGTCCAGCATGGAGGGCGCTATATAAATCCAAGCTGTTGTAGTGGATTGAGTGTCCAAATTATTATTATTTTATTTTTTTGAAGGGATTATTGCCCGTGGAAAAGCGATCTGCCAATTGACTAACAACCGGGTTCCTACTTACTACTAGGTAAACAGACTTGTGGAGTAAGGAAATTTGCCCAACATTTTGCCTTGCCTGGGAATCAAGCTCAGTTCTCACTTGGGAGGCGAGTGCTCACCACTAAGGTCCTTTTATTGCAACCTATTGTGAAGTCCTGTAGCTTAGTGGTTAGAGCACTCACTTCGCAAGTGAGAGGACTTGGGTTCAATTTCCAGCAGGGCGAAACGTTGGACAAGCTTCCTTACTCCACATGCTTCTGTTTACCTAGCAGTAAGTAGGAACCTGGATGTTAGTCAATTGGCAGATCGTTTTTCCAGGGGTAATAATTCTTTAAAAAAATAATAATTTGGTCACTTAATCCATGACTGTTTGTGGGA